TGGCCTGGACACATCCAAGCGACACCTACAAGCTGGACGAGGTGGCTACAGCAAGCAGGTAGAGAGGAAATGGCAGAGGTCACAGAGGTAGTGATGACCTGACTCCCGCCAACCCTGCCCAGAAGCCCTGGTGGAGCCGCTGAGGGGCAGCGGGTGGTGAGCAAGGGACCTGGCCATATGGAGCTCACCGAGCCAGAGTGGGCCCGAGGAGCAGCGATCCAGGGCAGAGTCAAGCTGGGAGGTGGGGGCTCACCTGTCCCAAAGGTGGAGTGCCACCAGGGTCTGGGGCAGATGCCTGCTCCTCACAGCACCACAACCCAGAACCCCGAGCACCCACAGCTCATACCTCAACCTCCTGCTTCCCACAAGCAGACACCGAGGTAGGACAGAATAACGGGGTTGTGGGGCTGACCAGAACCACTGCTCCTTTTCCAAACCCTGATGGCATAGATTTGGGCCAACAGTGTTGACCCAAGCGCCTTGGAAACCCCTAGACCAGCAGACTCAAGTGACGAGCCCTCCTGGATCCCCTCTCGTCATGTGGGGTGTTAATAAACCCTGCTCTTAGGGCCACTCATCCTTGTCTGTGGATCTCAGTTTTTGGATTCGTGAGACAAGAACCCAGAGAGAAGCCGGCAGTGAGCTGCTGGGGTCTGCTCAACGCTGGGGGGTGTGGCCGCCACCAGAGCTGCAGCCCATTTCGGGGCCTTCACATTGTGCACACCCCACCTGCCAGCAGAAGTGCAGAAACTCCAGCCTCAGCGGGAGCAGATCCCTGGACCTCAGAGTCCTGCGTGCCGTGCAGTGGACGCTGTGGCTACCATCGGCTACCCGGCCAGGTCCAGGGCCTGCTCCTGAATCACAGCAGCTTACCAGATGGTGGAAACCGCCACTCCATCCTCCTCAACTCCCATCTCTAGACGGAGATCCGCAGCACATACGCCTAGTGACGTCTATTGGCCCCGAGTTGTCAAAACCACTGCCACCAGGCTTGAACCTGCACTTCAACTTTTATAAGGGAGAAGTAAACGTGCCCCATGAGCAGTTCAAAGGTTGAAGAAAAAGTGGAAATAACAGAAACTCACAGCGGGTACCCCACCTCCTAACTGCCCTTCCTCCTTCATCTCCAGTCCCAGCTGGGGACAGCTACTCAACCATCTCCACTAGACAGATGAAAGCCCTGCGCCTCACACCACAACCATCACCAAGCCCCACCCACTCCACCTCCAAACAGTCCTCTGATACAGCTCTCCCAAGCAGCCCAGGCCCCTGCCTCCGTCCAGGCCTTCATCCTGTTTGGAAGTGCTTCATCCAAACAAAGTGCTACTGCAAGTCTCCCCATTCCCCATTTCCCTCCACCCTCCGTGCTGTCGGAAGAGGAATTCTGCTACCATGCACACCTCACCACCATACATATGACCCCTAGATCAAGACCTGACCTTGGCTTTGCTCCGCAGCCTCCTCTTCAACCAGTGCCCCTCTTCTAACCCACCAAAGCGAGATGCCTGCCATCGCTGGCCTATCTACTCGGTGATGTCCAAAGCTCTATCCCCTTCTGCCTGGGGAACAGCTCCTCTTCCTAGG